AAGCGTCATTCTATAAACAAATTCAATGACACGAGTACAATATGGAAGTGTAAAGAGTATAAAATCTACAATGCATAAATATCCCAGCAAATAGGTCCCCATTCACCACCTGCTCTCTCTCTCTCTCTCTCTCTCTCTCTCTCTCTCTCCCTTACCCATAAACAGCTGGACTGGTACATGTGGATATAATTCTCTCAGTTCTTCTATTATCGGTAGACTGGGTGGAGGCGTGGCCTTACTCTCCGCCAAACACAGGAACAACTCAAACTATAAAATAATTACAAAAATTTTATCTTATCTTAATTATTTTTTTATTGTTCTACATACCTTTGGGTAAGAGAGTTTGAAGAAGCTTTCAAGATTATCCCTCATATTTCTATCAACACCAATGATTGGCTATAAGAACAAAAGAAACAAGAACATACTGTACTACTGATAGTACAAGGACTTTGGTATAAAATCCAAATTTGATTGGAACCAGCTCAAACTTTCTATGCAACATAAGTACATGTATATGCATCAAAAAATGTCATTAAAATAAAGAATTCTCTCCTTTTCAATTTTGGCAAAACTTGGTGTACTATAGTACAGGGACTTTGCGCCCGATTTTGGAGAAACTTTAAAGATTTGTATAAAATGTACTTGAATATGTTTTTATGATTTGTACATGAACACTTATAGATGAACATGTACAGTTTCTAATTAAATTCACTTCCTCCCTCGCTCCCTCACTTTAATGACAGTAACTCCAGGAAGAGAATCAGGCTTCACTAAATGATGTTTTGGCTTCCAGGAATGTAACTTAAAATACCTGTAAACAACAAGAACAACAACAATAATAATACAAAAACAACAACAATAACATTAATAATAATAATAAACAATTTCACATAATTATTGTTCGAAAAATTGAAAACCCAATCTACGTTAGTTCTTGATTGACCCACCCACCCACGTATATAATTAAACAGTTCCACTCTCACTCTCGTCTCTTCTCCTCAACTCACGCATAGCTAATGGCCAGTACGTGTACACTCATGTATACAACATAGTATAAGAGGACAATCAGTGAGATGACCAGGGGGATCTTTGAGATTAGCCAGTGGAGGGATCCAGGGACGAGAGAAGGATCTTCTGCAATGACAGGGGAAGGAGGGGAGCCTGTGGCATTGAAAGGGAGAGACATCTAGACCTGTACTCCTTTTTTCATTAAAATGAAAACTCTTGAAAAAATTTATTCCAGTCACTGGTTATTTCACTTATTTGTGCTTAATTAGCCACACCTTTAGTCACACCTATAATCACGTGTAAGTATGCGGAGAAAAGTTACTTCGGATACTGTCGTATGAGTAAAACATTGAAAACGGAGGTACACGGGAGTATGCAAAAACCACGTGGTATAGTGGCGGGTCCAGCTGGGTTGTTGTTTGAAGGGCTTTTAAAAGGTTTTATACTTTTATTGAGTTTAATATTTTAATTTTAAGTAGTTTAAAAGATGCCACGCTACCTTGCACTCAACTACTTGGAGCTGGTACGAAGTTTAAGCACTTCAAATTTTAATTTAATATTTTTAATAGTTAAACCGAGAGAGAAGACACCTCTTAGACAGGTGCCTTTTTCCTGTTCCTGGACAAATAGAATCGATTGATCAGTACCCACACCACGGGGACCTCCCTAGCAAGTATCTCTTTCCTTGGAAACCACGTACGTCATAATGAATCTTAATTACTGTAATTTTATTCTCTTTTATAGTTGTTATTGAAAAAGGTGTGGCCAAGAGGACGTTGGAGGAGGAGCTTGATGGACTGAAATTTGAAGGAAAACATGATCCACTTGAGATGTATAGTACTGACGAACAGCAGCATAATTATAGGTAAAAAATGTAATAAAAATTGGGAGTTATTTTGGAGCCATTTTTTGGAAAGGCTATAGTACTGGGATTTTTAAAGAAATTAGCCTAATTTTTAAAATGGTTGTAACTTGAAAAGTTCAGGTCAGATTCAGGTCAAACTTGCTACACAGCATAAGGGCATCAATATGCATCAGAAAATGTAATAAAAATTGGGGGTGATTTTTTAGCCATTTTTTGGAAAAAACCATGGGCTATAGTACAGTGATTTTTTCAAAATTTTGGCATTTTTAAAAATGGCTGTAACTTGAAAAATTGAAGTCAGAATCAGCTCAAACTTGCTACACAGCATAAGAACATCAATACGTATCAGAAAATGTAATAAAAATTAGGGATAATTTCAGGGCCATTTTCCCCCTAGTGCTACTGGTTCTGAAGTTGATCTTTTTGAAAGAGCAGCTGCTGATCTTATCATTAAAACTGAGATTGAAAACATTAGGAGAGTCGATGGAATAGAAGACTTCAATTACGAACCAATTAATATTGACCACTGTGACATCACTGGAGGTAAATTAATAATTAATTATAGATACATGTAAAGTACCGTATAGCCACAAAGTTTTGAGACAATAAACTTTCACGAATCAGGCCACAAGTCTTTTTTCGTGAATTAACTTTCGCGGTTCTTATTTTAAAGCACACGTGTTTATGGGCAATACGGATAATTTTACGGAATTAACTTTCACGAATACAGAAAATCCGCGAAAACAGCGAAAGTTGTACCCTCGAAATTAAGCGGCTATATGGTATACCATGCTACCATGCATGTATATGTATATGTTTTGGAACCTTATTATTTCAATTTTCAATTCTGTTCCAGACCCGGTCCTATTCCTCCTTGAAGAACCATTAGATCACTCACTGGTCTCCCCTCCAATATTACATACTAGCCTGCCTAGTGTTGGGGCATTGCTGAAAAGACTCAGACCCATTTTAGTACAGGACCCCTTGGTGGATAAAATTGGACGGAAATATGAAATAAGATTAGAAAAGTAAAGAATATAACTTATTAATTAATTAATTAATTAATTAATTTTTTTTAGTCTAACTATTTCTCTGACTATCACAAATCCTATGACTTCACAAGTGGAGTCTTTTACCAAAGAACCTTTAGACGAAGCTGAATACTCCACCCACCTCATTGAAAACCCACTAACACTCCACAGACCTTTCAGCCCCAAACCAATCACCCAATACATTAATGAAGAGCTGCAATCATTAGCAACAACAGAAGGATCGGAGGAACTAGAAGATAAAGAAGGATTAATAGATATTGGTGACATGTGCAAGGATTTGACTCAATCGTTGACAAGAGATAGAGGAGGAGGTGTACCTGCAGTTACTGACAGGTTTTTATTAGCGAGTTCATTTGGTGATTCTGTTGGTAATGGATCTTGTTCCTCTGCTGGATTGTGTTTTGAGGATTTGAACAATACAGGTACTAATGTAGCTAAGTGACATTGGTTTTCATTGTAAAACCATTAGTTAATGTCCTCTTTTATTGTATGTACATATAGCATTTTAAGTATTGATTTTACATACTAGGTTTAGGAACAGAAGTTTCAATGTTTGAGTCTCAGTTATTGGAGAGTCCTGAGATCCTGTCTGCTCTTGAAGTTCCTGATTTCTTAGGAACTGAACTGATTGATCTTGTTGTGTTTGATGATGATACACTACTGAATGAAAGGTATTGAGATATCAGTGTTGATATATCAGTGTTAGTATATCAGTGTTAATATATCAGTGTTAATATCATGTTTAGGTTGTTGAGTGTGTCAGATGAGAGGAGACTGTTCAACAGGTTAAGGACACTTGATCACACCTTCGATAGCATTGCATCAAAAGTACTACCTTGTAAGAATTAAAGATATTATTTATTTATTTATTTATTTATTTATTTATTTAGGTACTGATATTACAGTACAGTTAGGTGATATTAATAATAATTTAATTGATCAATCAATTTCAACACTTCAACCCATTAAACTTCACGGAGAGTAAGTTAATTAATTAATTCATTATTACGTTAGTTAGTCCTATTTATACATGCATCAAGAAATATTGAAATCATGCATGTACATTTACCTGTACCTGTAATTTTAGTTTTAGCATTATTATTATTAATATATTCATTTATTTTAGTTTGGAGTTATCATTGCCCTGGGACCCAGTATTCTATTCTTCAGTGAGTATGAGAGATGCTGTTAATAATACACTAACCAGATCATTCCATGATACTGGAGGTAGTGACTGTACTGCTATAGCTACTGATCATAATGGACAGTCTGTAGTATCACTGGGGGCAATGGATATTGAGAAGGCTGGGTTTGATATGGATTACATTAGATGGGGTAAGAGAGATAGGTGTTGATACTCTTTCTATAAACAACATGATATTATTATGAGAAGTTCATGCATTATTAACAGTACAATGATTATAAAATGGCTATAAATTAAAGTCCTTGTGCACTATATACTACTGCTACTGTACATAATTCACAAGTTCTATCATCATTACTTACTTATCCATTCTTCTCTTCCTATCCATGCAGTTAATGGTTTTGATGCTACCCTGATGTCACTTAATCAACCACCACCTACTACCAATAGCACCAGTATTATTACTAATGAGGTATCCATCACTTCAACTACAAGATCTCTCTCTCACTCTCTCTCTCTGCCTCCATCACTTACTTCAGCTACTACTAATGTCAATATATCTTCAGGATTTGATAGCTTTCTATTGTTAAGAGGGATGGGAGATGTGGGTGCGGCTTTGAACGACCCCATTAATAAAGCTGCTCCTAGTTCTGTTTCTTTATTATCGTCTGGTGAACGCAATCAACCGACAATCAGTGATTCATGCAATATCATTGAACCTGATTCTGATCTGATTCTTGTTAAAGCCAAAGATAGGCCTGTCACACGAGTAGAGATACAGGTTTCTATAACAGGTAATACCTGTAATATGTACAATGTACACGTACATGTACATACTACATGTATGTAGCTTCTAAAATTTGTGAAAATTTAAAATTTTTATTCCTTTGTTTTACAGGAGATTACAAGAGATTACTGGAACGTCTCAATTCTCTGACTAGCCCATTGCTGAAGCAGTTCCTGGGTGTGGTTAGGGGTGTGGCTAACAAGGCGCTATTATCTGACGTTCCCATTGACTCTCTAAAGTTCTTCATGAAACAACAAGAAATGAATTGTCATTGGAATACCACTGGTAATAGGGTTTACTGAGATTTACTGAAATATACTGACATTCCTATTAAATATACTGATGTTTTTAACTGCATATTTGTTTTTTTAGATAATTATGTTTCCAGTCTAGTATTATTCATTATTGGGTCTCTTATTCGTGAACTGTTGAATACCTCAATACAATCAGCAATGGGTAAGCCCCTATAATCAGTAAGTACTAATTGTTTTAACTTTTATAGATTTATTTAACGGATTATGTAATAAATACAGGACACTGATCCTCTCATCACATAATCACAGTGAGTTGTTGTTGTTATTATTATTATTATTATTGTTATTATTATTATTATTGTTATTAGTGTCGTTGTTGTTGCTGGATTATTTAATTTATTATCACTAAATTTTTACAACCTAGGCCTAATCCCCATTATGTATACAATATTTATTAATAATTAATGTAAAACTACAGCAGAACATTCTAAAAGTTTTCTCACACTATTATATGTGCGTAGTACAGTAGATCTTAAAAGTTCTGAGATGTAGAACTTGATTAGAAACATTCTGTGTAGAACCATTCCTAAGCAATATTAATATTAAGTGGAAGACCTTTGAGGAAGGAGGGCAGGGATTTAGTGGTGGGCCAACTTAGTCATTTTATTATGAAAATTATTGTTCTTGAGTGGCTTATTGTTATTATTAATAATCATTAATTCAACCAAAAACAAAACAATAGAATTGATATTAATGAACACAACCCAACAAGAAGATTAAACACAATTCAATAAACAAATTAATAAACAACAAGTCTATCATTACCAGAATCACAAACATACAATAATCCATCTTTATCAAATGCTAATCCATAAGGATTATTAAACTGATCAATATTATTGCCTTCACGTCCAAACTTCCTAACAAACACACCATCACTAGTGAAGACTGATATACGATGATTGCCCCCTTCACTAACATACACTAGACCAGTAGCTGCAGTGTCTATTGTTATATTAAGCTGTCCAGGACCAGATCCTTTAGTACCAAACTGACCCAAAAAATCTCCATCTGGAGAGAACTTCTGAATGTGATGATTATCCCCATCAGTAACATACACTAATCCTTGACTGTCAATAGCAATGTCATGTGGAGACTGAAACTGTCCATAAGCTGATCCTTCACTACCAAATGAATGAGAGAAGGTTAGATCAGGATTCAAGACTTGTATACGATGATTACCCTCATCAGCAACATAAACCTGTCCTGTTATAGGAGAAATGGCTATACCATGAGGAGTATTGAATTGTAGTGGTCCACTGCCCTCCTCACCAACTGATGCTATAAGGTATCCATCCATGCTTATCTTCTGGATCCTATTGCTATCATCAGATATGAGAATGAATTTGTCTGGAGTAATAGCTACACCACCAGGATAAGAAAAATAGACATTACCACTTCCTCCTTCCCCTCCTAATGATTTCACTTTCTTTCCTTCTCTATCCAGTATTGTTACACAGTCACCATCACACTCAGTTATTATGACATGATTATCATCAGTTACAGCAACTCTCCAGGGACCATTAAGCTTAGTTATAGTACGTACTGGAGTGATGTTATCAAGGTAAGGATTGATAGGGATGACTAGTGAGGTATCCTCAAGGTGTACATCATATACTTGTACTTTTACTGTATGAGTACCACTGGTTGAAGGGTTACACTGTATCCTATACACTCCAGGATCAGTGCTGGTGGTAGTGACTGTAGTGTGAATGGGTTGATCACCTTTACCAACTGGTACTAGACTACACCTCAGAAAAAAGTGGGGAACAGGGAAAAGAGATAATCCTGGTGCCTCTATTGATAGTGAAAACGAAACTGCTTTGCCAGCAGATGTAATATGATCAATCTTCTTCACTCTATACCGCTGTAGTGCAGGAAAGGTCACAATATTTCCAATGTCATGCAGTGATTTACCCAATGCAAAGCTGACCTTTTCCTTTGGAAGTAACTCCTCCACATTGATCCCTGCAGAATGACCACCTATTGATATTGTTAGATTTAAACTAAGAGGAGGATGACTATCCTGTTTCATAGGCCTCGGGGCTTGTTGAGGACTGTCAGCAATCAAGTCATATTCATGACCTTTGTGATTACAAACTGAGCAGTTTACACAGATTACTGTATCACACGTTTTACAGAATAGCTCCAAAGGCTTTCCATGATCGCTACATGTGGCCTCTTGAGGATTTGGGAAAACTACTGTCTTCTTCATTGCACTGAACATCTTTAGAGATTGCTGAGAGAGACTTTTCTGTACAACAGTCAACAGAGAATGGAAGTGACCACTGACGCTGATGAATGAATTTGAGATTGAATTTTGTGTGAATTGCCCATCTCATTTTATACTAGTTGTAGAGGGTGTGGTTTAAGTTCAGATCCAACCAATCAGATTGTAGCCATCAAGTGGTCACATGGCTCCATGAGGTGCCAGACTAATTTGATGTCTGCATGTCACAGACAGTGGAACTGCCTGCAGAGATCATTGATAATTAACATGTCTTGTTCCTGATTGATATTGAATGGGAATACTTTTAACTTGCTAGATAGACCATAGATGCATTTATAGATAGACCATAGATACACAATAATTAATGGATCCTGTCTTTATGTATGGACAAAGCAGAAATATGCTCAATATTATTAGGTTCATTGCATGTGCCTAGTACAGTTTCTGCTACTGATTTTCTGTACAGTATCATAGTACAAAATACCTAGTATAGAAGTAGATACATAAGTATGTACATTATGTGTTCTTAATTTTTATTAGCACATGTAAGCAATTAAAGCAATGGTTGCACTCATTTAATAAGTAGAATTCATTATTAAATATTATAATATGTTTTTTTGTTTTTTTTCAAGGTTTGTTGTTACAATCAGTGAGAGAGATGTTGGAGGTCCTGTACAACCAAGGGATTGAGCACCCAAAAATAAGAGA